TGGCATGAGAAATCCTATCCTGGGGAAGGCTGATGCCTCTGCAGCTGCAGCCCAGGGAGGGTGCAGGGCAGTGGCCAGGGGAGTAAGAAGGGGATGTGGGAAGGTGCTGGTGCCCAGGCTGTCCTGGGGCTGGTGGCACACAGCAGTAACTTGATCTCTGGAGAGTGGGGCTTGTTTGAGAGCTGGCACTGTTGAAAATGTGCTGCTTCAGCTGGAAAAATACAACATCAAGACACTCATAGAAAAGATCACTAGAAAAATTTTACATTCACCCACGTATTAGATTACGCAGAAAATTTGGTGTTGGGACATGAAAAATAATTCTGGATAGATGATCAGATTTAAAAGGCAAGAGAGGATGTGGGAGATCTTGTTTCAATATCTACTGAATAATCATCACCCTTTAACTTATTGTAGGAGTTTGAAAACCTATGTTTATGGAGGAGATAAAGGAGAAGCAGAAGTAGTATGAAGTGTTATGATGTTTTGAATTGTCTATCTAATATAGATTTTTAGTTTTATATTCTTAACTGATGATTTCTTTGGTACTAAGGCTCAATTTAAATATAGTGTAGTGTCTACTAAGTCATTTAAGAAAATCTGTAGATTTATATAACCTCTTAGTTTATACAGAAGAAAGGTCACATGCACTGTGACTGAAGATACTGGTGTGTATTAATTGATGAATAGGACAACATGGGAATCAGGAGAGTGAACTCCAAGTAGCCTGTGATCTTAATGGAAAAACTGTGGGGCATGTGCAACACTACTCACAGGTTTCCTTTGTTAAGCTTTGTATTGTAATGGATACCTGGTGCCAAGGAAACTGGTTGCTGCTGCCTCCACTGTATCAACTCCCAGCAAATAAGTGAGCCCCTTCATTTTCCTTCTGTGGGGTTTTTTTTTTTTTTCTTCCAGCTCCCTGTTCTCGTATTCTCCTTTTTCCCCTCAGCCGCTGAGATAAAGGAGAGCATGAAGTATGCAGACAAAGTATACTAAGCAGACTTAAAACTTCTGGAGTAACTGTTTACAGGGTCAGGCTCTGCTTTTGTGTACAACTCATACTCAGGTATGAAATGCTAAATGACTTTGTGTAAGAATCCTACTATTGCTAAAACCAGGAAAAGCTTTGCTATGTCTTCTTTGGTTATAAAATTGTCTTTCTTCTCAACTTTCTGGTAAGTTCAGTAAAGTGTTCACCAGGTAACACAGCTGCAGGGAAAGCTCTCCTAGGCTTGTGAAGTTGATAATTTGTCTTTTAGAAAAGTATTATGACAAATGATAAGGTAAGCTCCATGTCACTGCTTGCAAAATTTGAATTGCTGCAAGCAAAGCATCAAGCAGAGCTGCTGAATAGGATGGTGTAAGACTTGGCACTGCTGGTTTTTGCAAGTTTTGCCAGGCTCTTTCGTGACTTTTCTTCCAATGATATGAATTTTGTCTTTTGCAACTCTCTTAGAAGTAAATGGGAAACTAAGTAATGAACAATGTTGTTTTATCTGCCTTTAGGCTGCTGAGCTGCTAAGCAACAAAAAGATCTTCTGAAGTAACCCCGTCTTTAAAATGATCTCAAATATTAAAACTTTTTTGTCTTGTTTTAGATTTAGGGATGAAGCAAGGAGGAAGAGAGAGACAGAATCTAAGCCGCTTCTCACAACCATATAATCTGCATTAATCAGTTACTTTCTTTTAAAATAAGGGGACTATGGCACTACCTTGGACAAAATGTCTTAGTAGGCATTGTCTAAGGATTTGGTGAGACTAATATTTCATTTAATTCATTATATAGAAGCAGTTACCATATGCAAAGAACCATAACCCATGAGGGTAGTAGTTCTGGTACTAGGGTTAAACTCTTTGACCAAAACTGTCATCTTTTGAACAGGTGTTTTTTCCTGTATATTGGCATGACATAATTAAGCAATAAATCATGAACACTTTTAATTGAGTTGAAAAGTTTACTGTTTACTGTTGAAAAAAGAGAAGATTTTTTTTTTTTCTAATGCAAAAAAAACTTTTTGGATGTATTTTGCAGTTGAGATTGGGTTTGATAGCTGAGATCAAAAACTTTTAGTGGCAAATTTAAGTATCCAGGAGTTTAAAATAATGCATGAATAAGTCTTAAACAGATATACTTAAGTTTTCATAAGTTTTTCAACATGAATACAAATGCACATAGATAAATTTGTACATTCTGTACAACTTGTCATTCAGTATCAAAGATTATGCTGCTGGCAAGGTAACTTTTCCCTGCAGCTGGAATACAATAAGGGTTTTATTTGTTTGTGACATGAATTTTGACAGATTTCAGAGACCCAGTTTAGTGACTGAATTCTGAATCTCTTGGTACTGTAAAGAGTCTAATCTGTAACAGCCCCTGTGAAACAAAACCAAGGTTAAGAATAGGAAGCTTTCTAACTTTTCCGTTTTAGGTGACTATACTAAACATCTAGTTGGCTCAGGGAATTGCTAGTAAGCTGATTTCATCTGTAAGTGACTGATGTAAATATTACTGAGCTTGACAGCATCTAAAAACTGTTGGTATGTGTGCAGCAAGTTTGGAAATCTCAGCTTTTCATGGACAGATACGTGTGGTGAAGGAGCTGTTTTCACGACTGGCAGTTCTGTTGGTGTTGCACTGAGTGGATGAAAATAAGCACCCTGCTGGCCTCTGGATGTCATTCCTTGAGTCAGACCTTAAAGGCTTCAGTGAGGGAGTAGTGTGAGCTCCCCCTGTTTTGTTCCCATTTGGGAATCTCCACCTCTAAGGCTCTGGTTAGGCACATGTCACATGATACCTAAGCCAGGGATTCCCTTTCCCTGATGAGGTATTCCAGCAAGGGAATCATATGGATTCAGGAGGTCAAGTACTTAAGGTAAATGCCAGAGCTTTTGGCAGATTAGGCTTTTTTCAAAGGCAGCTGATTTTGTTTCCTTCCTGGTATTCATGGTTGGCTGGCACCCCTCTTCCCTGGGAACAACAGGAACATAAAGTAGACACTCCTGAGCTTTTAGATCCAGTGTCCATCAAAGTTGGTAGCAGTGGCAATTAAGGCACTTGGTTTGTCAGCCTGCTAGTATTTTTAGGAAGCTGATGGAATTTGGCTTGTCATCTAATGCGTTGATCCCTTGCCAAATGTCAGGTCCCCTGACCAGCCACCCAAGTCCCTCTACCAACTGTCACCGTGCCCTGCAGAAAGTGCAATGCCATGGAGTCAGCGACTCAGTGAAGGATTAACAGCCTCTGCCAGCATGCTCTAATTAAACTGCTATATACACAACAGCTGGGAAAAATTCATCAATCACACAATGTTTATTATTGGAATTAAAACACCTTATAACTAATGCATAGATTTGCATTGATTAGCATATCCTGGAAGGAACAAGTGGTGCCAGCTCCATGTGTTTGGGCATTTGAATGTTTGTATCACTTGTACTGTCACCCATCTGCCTCTGCTTTGTTAACCATAGTTAAAGGGTTGATCAGTTTTGCAGCTGCTCAGGGTCAACATCTGTAGAACTGTGATGCTAAACACTACAAGGAATTCCAAGTTTGCTTTGTCACGTGGTCTGTGGTATATTTGTGTTTGTCAGTCTTCCAGGCACATGGGCAGGACTCTTAATTTAGTCACACTTGAGCAAATCAGTAGCAATGCAACAAGTACCAGATGAGTTACATAGACTTATAACCATGGTTGGTTCATAAACAAGCTCAGTTAATTTCTCTGGGCATTTCTGGGCTGTCTAATGTGGCAGTAGTGCAGTGGTGTGTGTCCTTTTGTAATACAAGGTGGCTATGTGGCACTCAAACCACTGGAAAACTTAATATATGAAACACTTTCTAAGCTTTTGAAGATGGTCATATAAAAATGTACTCATATGCACTCACATTTGCATATATTCAATGCCATTTTTTTAAATAAGAGAAACATCTTTGCCTAATTCAGAAGCAAATTTTTCTGTCAACATTTACAAGGGTTTCAGTAATATGGGTGCGGCTAGTGTTCTGAAACACTTGATCCATGTGTTCACGGCTACTACAAGGTCTGAGGTCTCACTTAAGCCCTCCAAACTTATGGTGTTCTTCCTAGAACCATTGTATCCAAACTAAATGGAGCAAACTTTAATGTTAGAGCTCTAATACAATATCCTTCTCCAAGGCATGAAACTGAAGATGCAGAAAAGAGCAAGCAAGAAGTTAGATTCAAGGTTCTGAACCTCATGGTCTTCAGTGCTGATGAAATGGTATTTACAGAAATATGTGCTTGGCAAACTGGTAGTAATTGCTTTTCCTCATCTAGAAAAAAAAATGCTTGAAAATACTGAGTGGCACGGACAGAGTTTTAAAAATATTGGTAGGTAGGCTGATAAAAATCAGGTTATTTGTGAATGAGAATTTTTACTGCTTTAATGAAATTAAAGAAAATGGTATTCAGTCCTGGAATACTTTTATGATACAGTAAGCACTGGCATTTGTGTTTGTCTGTGGCAGGATCTCATTCTGCCTTTTGGCATGGCAGAAATATGGTTATCGTGGAGGAAGTCTACTGGATCTCTTTTAAATCGTAAAATTAAAACCAAATATAAGGTGCAGGGATCTGCACCTAAATATCTGACTTCTGAAAGATAAGATTATCAGCCAACACTTCATGGCTGTAGTAGGAACTGTTTTGGTTGGCGTTTTAAATTAACTTTTAAGTCAAACCTTGAATATTGCCCCACAGTGTGCAGACATCTGATGAGGTATTATAATTCTTACTACTATATAATTAAGATAAATAACACTTATTAATTAATAACTCTGCCCTCTCATTCAAGATGTGAAGACAATAAGTATGTCTAGAGAAGAGCAAAGCAGACTTAATAACTTATCTCACCTACTGACCTGGCATTCATGGCAGCTGGTGTTCGTGAGGGAATTCAGGAAGTTAAGGAACCCTTCCTCAAAGGGGTATGGAGAACAGAGTTCATTCACCACGTTGTTCTCTTTCTTTTGACAGGTCCTTTGCTACCCTTTGAGCACAGCCCAGACCTTTGAGAATATTCTACCAAGATGAAGAAAAAGAATCATTCCAATGGGTATTTCAGAGATTCTGCTGGCAGGTGCTTTTCTGCTTCCACACAGGCTCAATCCTGACATGACTGTTGACTTCAGTAAAGGTAAGATGATATACTTGTTTTGTTGTTTTTTCTCATGAACAAACTGTATGTGTCTTTAGATTTGCCACAACATACTACTGGGATTGGCAGCAGCAAGACAAAAAAATCCAGATGAAATGGTTATTGATGCACAATGTAAATGCTTCATGTCCTTTGTGACAGCTGATGGAGATTGCAGTCATAGCAAGCTGAATTCCCACTTCCATGGACAGAAGTGCTGGCACAATGTGCCCTGGTATTTAGGTGTATTGACTTCCCTGCCCTGGACCAGGAGGCACTTGCTTGATTATGGGTGAGGCAGATCTACTAGTAGCTGCACTTAGATTTTGTGCTCAAACTATGGTAATTTATTTCTGACATTTCCTCCTTAAACTGCTCCATCACAGGTTCATGTGTAGTGGAGGGTGTCAGTCCTGAACCTGGTGCACGCAGCTCCAAGGGCTCCATGTGTGTTAGAGGATGAGAGGGGTTTTAAAATGTGTCAGCCTTTACTGCACTGAAGGGTTTGACTTTAATGCCATACTTGCAATATTTCTTCTAATTAAGAAGTGTGAGGAATACTACTAATTCTGCAGTAAAGTTAATTAGCACAGCCTATAAATGTTTATTTGTTTTTTAATAGCAACAAATGCATTATAAATTACTCCCATGTTCATCTATTGTATAATCCTGCTGTTAGAGTAATTTGTAACATAGCTTTTTCTTACAATAGCTGTTGGCATTACAAAAGCAGGAATATGATTTTGGTGTTGATTGTGGAATGACCATGTTAAGTCTTAAATTTGCTAAATTCTTAACTAGCTCTGTGAAAAAGATTAAGATAAATTCCATGTGTATTGATGGATATTGAACTGCTTAATGTAATCTTTATTTACAACCAGAAACCTGCTTTTGCAGGCATTTAAAATCTGAAATAGGTTTTTCCTAAACACAGATTTACTACATCTTAACTCTAGGAACTTTATGATAATTATTGGCTTTTGAATAAGTGTGGAAGTAGAACTTCTAGTTTTATCTCTTAAATTGACTGTAGTTTCACAGATGCTTGTGAAAACTTGATAGCAAACTTTAAATAATCTATAGGCTTTTATAATATTTTTGGTAGCAAGTATTGTTTTAATAGCATTGTAGGTGTACCTAATAGTTTCAAAGTGAATATTGGTGAACATTTGAACTAAAATATTGAAATATTTTAATTTACTCCTTAATGCAGTTCTGCAGTTCTTACTTTTTTGAAGTAGCACAATCCTGGAATGAAAAGATGCCTTTTAGTCCTGCTTTGTTCAGGACAAATACTTTGTACTGCACTTAATCCCACCTGAAATGAGGGGAGCTTAAGAGATTCAGGTTTAAGGCATGTGTAATGAAGAGGGAAAAGAATAAGGTGCAATTTCTGCTGTGAGGTGATTTCCTTAGAGGAATATCTTTTAGAGGAAGGTAAAGAACTGAGAGCCTGTTTGGATTTCTAGAGAGGGAACCTTCAGTAGGAGTGGAAGACATTTTGAAAATGACTGAGAGCTGGTTTGGAGGAATGGAGGCATTATGTGAGACAGGTTATACATACCTAATTCACCTAACACTAGAAAATGGAGAAATTGCCATCTCATACTTTTTTCCCCTTTTGTTTTAAGTAAACTTTGCCCTTGGGTGTTATGAGAGAGAAATCTTGACTGTTAATACTGTAATCAATGCTGTCATCTTTTCTGCAACTCCAGTATTTTATAGTCTTTCCAGTCTTGATGCTGGTCAAACTTTATTGAGCCACTTAAATTGATTAAGGTTTTCCAATTTTGCAACATCATCTCTAATGCAATGAATCTGGTGACATAACCATCTTCTCATTGCAATTTCTGACTCAAGAAGAAAATTTGGAAAATTGTCCAGCTGTTGATATGGTGGCTTCTGTATTGGTGATATTCCCATAGAGAAACAAATAGTGTATGGAAGGCAGTGAAATCTTTCTTTTTGGGGAACAAGAGGAACAAAAGCCTTATAGTCACACTCAGATATACTGTTGGAGACACTGAAATGTCACCATAAGGCTGAATATGATTTACTTGCCCAGCAAAAGTTCTTCTGAAGAGTTGTGACTTTGGTATGAAAACCAGAGCATCTACTGCACGTTTTTCAGGATATTCTCTGCATAAAGCATGTATTTTCTGAGGAGTTGAGTAAATATATTTTTTCTTTAGTAAGTGTGTTTCTAACACATGGTTATTTTTGAACTTTAATCTTGGCTTCTGAATGCACAATAACTTTGGTTCCTGCAATAGTTCCCAGAAGGCAGTTACTTGGTTTCTGAGGAAATAGTGTCTTAGTGAGGTTCTCTTTTATTAGCCATAAAATATTAGCTTTATACTTTCCACAAAGATATTTGCAAACGTCTCATTAAAACAACAGATCCAAAAGAGTGGAAAGGTGGTGTCTAATCTAACCCTCAGTGAAGAATCCTGGACTGCAGACTCATTATGAATTAATTCCAAATGGTGTAGAGTAACATGTAAAGCTATGGGTTATATTTTCTTAGATTTAGAAGACTAGATGCAGAGACAAAGTTGCTTCACATTTCTTTGGCTGTTAAAAAAAGAAAAAAATATCTCTGGAGTTTGAGCTGAATTTAGTTTGAATATTGATATTGGACTGGGGAAGAGGAGCAGAACACAGTGATAGGCAATTTTCAGACCCCTACCTCTCCAGCCTTAAGTGAATATCTGAATCCTTGGAAAAAGGGTGTAATTTAACAAAGAAGAAAAAGTACTGATTTTAGAAGTTGGTGTATGTTACTGAGGAAAGCTTGGGTCATCAGGTAGGTTTCAGGTGGACTTTTAAACATCACTGTGCTATGAACTTGCTTTGCTCTTTGTGTAGTTATCTCTGCATTTTTGCAATCACTTAAGAGTTTTTCAGCTGATCAATACTGATCAATGTATTGATGGCAAAGTCAGTTGTTCAAAAAATTGAACTGAAGCCCTGCTGAGCAGGTGCTGTTTGCACCCCTGGATGGTAGATGAAAGGAAAAGTACTATCTGCCTTCAGTGGTAAAAAGTTTTATCTCCTGTTTGAGAACTCTATAGACACATCCATCAAGTGGTCTGACAGGGAAATAAATTGGGTTACAGCGCTGCAAGAAGTCCAGATTATGTTCCTGCTGAGCAGTAACAAATTGTGGTGAACTTTTTATAAAAGTTTCTTTCTGTTTTTCACAAAATAATGCAGTATAGAGGCAGTCAGTGGTCACAAGAGACAATGGAGAAACCTATGGAAGAGTTTGCTATTCTTTAATAAGCAAAAGATGTGAAATTATAGATGTGTTTTTTTTTTTCTATGCAACCACTTGTGGTCTCTGCTCTTTTATAAGCTGGCTAAATCTACCTAAGGTGAAATTTGCTTTATTTGCTGCAAAATTAAAAAAAAATAAACTAGTATCCTGACCATGAGATAATGTGCTTGGGTCCCATTTGTGATGGGCCACCGTCAGCTTCCACTGACCATAGTAAGAGATGCAGGTAATTTTGCTGGGGCTCACTAGAGACCCCTAATTCTCCTCCAATAACAGAATATTTTCATTCCACTCACCTCATGTATGCATTTCAGCTAGACAGAGTTCAGTAGGCTTTCTTATTTTTGATTTATTTAAAAGGAGCTCTTGCACACAGTTAGGATCCAAGTGCTTTTGAATGCAGCTATATTCAGATTTAGAATCTCTAAGTGTTGCTGGCCTTCTCTTTTATCATTCCATCCTGGGTCTGAATATCCTTCAACTTGAAGAAGAAACTTCAGACTCATCTCTAATGTCTAATTGGGAAATTATGAATGTTTGAAAATGGGTCCAGAGTTGTTTTCAAGCTTTGTGAACTTCAGCCAGCCATTCCATTATGGTGCCATTTTCTTTGCTGAAATCTGAAAGAGATGTTTCTGGTGTCAGGTTTCTTTGCATCCTTCTGAAAACCTGTGTATTCATATGAAAAATCAACATCCTTTGTATCTTTGCATGTATCTAGGTATACACAAATAAAACCTTTAACATGTGTGAGATCCTGGATGTTTTAACAAACAAGAATTAATTTCTTCTGCTAATTCTTTGGTGTCTCTTTCAAGCCAGTTGTGTTTAGCTATACAGCCTGAACTATTTTTGAGAAACATCCATGTATTCTTAGACTCAAAATAAAAATATAAAAGGGAGAGAGATTTCCTTTCAGTTGGATGCTCCTCTTACAGTTGTAAGCATTTAAGAGCCATTGGACACCTAATATTTTGTTTATATGGAAGCTAAGCTACCTTTAAAAAATAGATACAATTGAATGCAATAGAAAAATAAAGGAGAAAGTTTATTAGACAAGGAAGGCTGATGTTGTTTAATGAAGTGTGGCATTCTGATCTGTTTCTAAAAGCCTTGGTAAGCAATAGGGGTAAAATGTTTCTCTTACGGGCTTCTGCTTTACACATTGCATGCTCGCCTTGAGGGATTTGAAACCTAAATAAACCTTAACTCACAAAAAATGTAAGTATGAGAAATCTCATCCTTTTTCTGGAATGGCTTGGGGGCTGATTGTTTATTTAACAAGCTGGTGCCCTGATTTTGCCACTGACACACTTCAACAAAAATCCCCTCACAGGCATTTAAAGTTGCAAAAGGGAAGAGAATTGAAACGAAAGATGTCAATGCACAATGCCACAAAGGTCTGCTGACCTAGGTGTTTGCAGTAGTTACTAATGATATCCAAAGATGCAGCACTAGAATGGCCTCAGAGAGAGGAGTCAGTGATATTCTGATATAATCCAACCAAATGAGGTCTTCCTAAGAGTTGTTGGTTGCTTGAGCTTTGTGCAGGAGCTCACTTGGGAAGAGGGAAATTGCATCCATGGAAAGACCCAGGGGAGTCCTTGCAAAAATCCTAACAGACTCAAGTGAAATTTACCTACTGCACGGGCTTTGTGCCAGCTCATAAAAGTGAATGTGTTTTATCCTTAGATGTCAAGATTGTTGGGGGGCTGAATTT